CATCACTGTATCTGATAGCCAAGTTGCCCCCTCCGTGCGGATCGCTATATCTGCACTTTGGGGGCCCTTGGGGGGCAGGGGGAGGTTTGTGCACATGTGGGGCACATGTGGGGTCTCCCCTCGCCCCTGGCTTCAGTACCAGGTGGGGGGGGAAGAGGAGCTGGGGGGGAGATGGAGGGGGGGTGGAGGACAGGGGGGAACCAGCAGGATGGGTTGTACTTCCCTCCTCCTGCTGCTTCCTCCTCTGCCTCCCCCCCCCACGAGTATCGCGGGTCCCCCCTTGTTTCTTTATAATGGCCCACACCATGGAATGGAATGGCAGGCTGGCAGGCTGAGCAAAGTGACCTCTGCACCACTGGCTCATCTCAGATCCAGGCCGCAGTAATTATGGCAATGGCTCTCCATGCCTTCCCCCGCTCACCCGCCAAAGCGGCCGGGCGGGGGAAGGCCTGTTGAGCCCTCCCACCTTCCCCGGCCCACCCGCCTAAGCGGGTGGGCCAGGGAAGGCCTTTGAAGGAGCAGGGAGGCATTTAAAGGCCTCCCTGTGCCTTCCCCCATTTGCCCGCCAAAGCGGGCGAGTGGGGGAAAGCCTGTTGAGCCTCCCCCCACCTTCCCTGCCCTGCCCAGGGAAGGCCTTTCAAGGAGCGGGGAAGCATTTAAATGTATGTGTCTGTTTTTGTGTCTCTCTCTGTGCTCCTCTCTCTATGTGTGTCCCTCTCCCCCTCTGTTCATGTCTGCCTCTGCCCCTCTGTTCCTCTGTGTTTCTCTGCCCCTCTGTGTGTGTCTCTGTGTGTGTGTCTCTGCCCCTCTGTGTTTCTGTCTGTCCCTCTGTGTGTGTCTCCCTCTCTGTCTCTCTGTCTCTGCCCCTCTGTGTGTGTCTCCCTCTCTGTCTCTCTCTGTCTCTGCCCCTGCCCCTCTGTGTGTGTGTGTGTGTGTGTGTCTCTCTCTGTTTGTCTCTCTCTCTATCTGCCCCTCTGTGTGGGTCTCTCTCTCTCTGTCTCTGTGCGTGTGTGCGTCTGTCTGTTAGTCCCTCTGTGTGTGTGTTTCTCTCTATCCCTCTGTGTGTGTGTGTGTCTCTGTCTCTCTGCCCCTCTCTGTCTCTGCCCCTCTCTCTGTGCATGTGTGTGTGTCTCTGTTTGTCTCTCTCTCTCTGCTCCTCTGTGTGGTTGGGTGTCTCCCTCTGCCCCTCTGTGTCTCTCTCTCTGTCTCTGTGCGTGTGTGTGTGTCTGTCTGTTTGTCCGTCCCTCTGTGTGTCTGTTTCTCTCTCTCTGTTCCTCTGTGTGTGTCTCTCTTTATTTGTCTTTCACTCTCTGTCTTTCTTTGCCTATCAAGGTCAGTATTGTTTCAGAGGGGTGATGTCAGGGTGTGTGGTGTATGCAAATTAATTATGCTAATGAGTTATGCTAATGAGCTCCTGCACCTAGTTTTCTACAAAATGACCCCTGTAAAAAGGTGACCTCAAGTCCTCAAGGTGTACACCTTTGATACACAGCTGTGGTCCAGCAAGTCCTGCACCATGATATCATTTGCTTGTTAACTGAGGCCAACAGGGGTGGCCCTGAACTTTCCTGTAGTACCACAAGTTCTTCTCAAGGTGCTGTCCATTGGCTTCTAGGTTGTTCTCAGCTTGTGCCGTGCCACTGTACAGGCAGCCCAGTTTTTCAGTGTGCTTGGCCATGCACAGCTTGGCCTCAATGAACTGTGGTACAGCTGCTATAGAGTCACACATCTTTGGCTGCCTCCCAGCTTCATAGTTTCCTATACTGCTGTGGGCAATGACAGTTCTGAGGCACTAGTGATGTGCACTTCCAGCTTGCACCCCTGATTATGTGGTCTTCTGACTCAATGTCAACATACGATCTCATGATCTTCTGCTACTTTAGCTGACAGTAAAGCACTGCAATGTAATAGCATAGATCCTGACCACCTATAACAAATGCTGAGAAAATGTAAGTAAAAACCTGGGATATGTTTTCTAAAGGAAACACCCCGTGTACAAAAATATCAGCAAATACAGATGGGAGGATTGTAATAATTTCCATAGCATAATTTAAAGGCAGTTAGTATATGGTAATTTGTTTCAGTAATGCATTCAGATTGCCCTTAATGCTGACATCTACTTTACAAGAACACTGTATTTTCACTATTTGTGAATGTTTTCTTTGCAATCAGGAATTTTAAATAATATTTCATATTGCTTTGTCTGCTGTTTCTCCAATAAATCTATGTCTGAAGTAATTCTTGCAATACCAAATGAGACCTATTACAAATGAAGATATTTTTACTGTGCTTTATTAATGAGATGTTTTGAAAACTTGCCTGTTTTTGCTTTGCAGCTCTGAGGGACAATAGAATTGAGCTGCTACGAGCTTCATGGCATGAACTGACCATCAGAGTCACTGATGTGTCACTGTCAGATGAAGGGCAATACACTTGTTCTTTATTTACTATGCCTGTCAAGACTTCCAAGGCTTTCCTCACTGTTCTGGGTAAGCATAACTGGTTGAGAATACCAAAATAAGAACCATTTGATATGATATCTGTTGTAACTTCTTAGGCTTAAGAAACTTCTTCAGGACGCATGTGGTCACCATTGCTATCTATTGAGATTATCCTTGGCTTCAGGCATTCTGAGAATTAGTATAAAACAAGCAGAGACCAGATCCTCAAGAAACTTGTGCGGGCAACCATCCCTATATTTGCTTTCTCCCCTCTCCCTCCCAAGACTTCTCTCAATCTCTCTTTCTCCCTTCCCCACACCTACTCTTACTCTTCCTCTCTCACTTTCTTCTTCCCCCGATGCCTACTGTCACTCTTTCTACCTCCTCCCACATCAGTCACTCTCTCTCTCTCTCTCTCTCTCTCTCTCCCCCCCCATCTCTGTCTCTCCATCCCCCCAATCATTTACTTGGGATCTTACTCACCAGTAGTGCTGCCACTCCTCTTTCATGCTGCTATGGTGGGGGGATATGGCAAGTCCAATGGCTGTAGGTACGGACAGTCCGGGGGAGGGGCAGCTCCTCGTTTGGTTCTCCTCACCTACATAGTGCTCTTACCGGTACTGGCTCCCCCCACATATAGCATCACTGTCTCACAGATTCCTGAGGAGAGGCAACAATGGCAGGGTGGTTGGCAGTGGTGATACCTCCTCCTCCCCTGCCCGCGGGTCTGTCTCTGCCACCAGCTCCTCTGCACATAGTGCCTCTGCCTCACTACCTCTGAGGCTACTGAGGAGACGCAGTGATCATATGGCTAGTGGTGGTTCTTCACAAGCATAGAGAGGTTTATTTGGGGGGATTAGCCTTCCCTCTATTTTAAAGATTTTTATGCAGACCTGGGGACAGGTGGGTTCCCAAATTTGCAGAAAAAAGTCTCCCTTTTCTCTACCTGGCCCTAATCCATAGATGAAGAAGAGAAAAAGAAGAGATTGTATTTATACTCCGCCCTTCACTTCCTGAAGGAGTCTCAGAATGGCTTATAATCCCTTTCCCTTCCCCTCCCCACAACCGACACCTTGTGAGGTAGGTGGGGCTCAGATAGTTCTTTTGAGAACTGCCCTTGAGAGAACAGCTCTGAAAGAACTTATGACTGACCCAAGGTCACACCAGCAGCCGTGTATGGAGGAGTGGGGATTCAAACCCAGTTCTCCCATCCCTGCTGATCTGCCTCCCTTCCCCAACCCCACCTTCCCCAAGCTCCACCCCAAAACCCCAGGAATCTTTCAACCCAGAGTTGGCAACCGCAGCACCTCCACACATATGACATTCATAGAAATCCATAGTAACTGAACCAAAGGATGCAGAATGAACACATTTGGCTGCAGAACTACAGAGAGATATAGAAGTAAATAACTGGCAGCTGTCCAGCCCCACAAATTATACATCTCTCAAACAAATAGCTGTATGAGTTTGAGGAACTTGCTTACTTTCCCAAAGGAAGTTGTGAGGACAGGTGCAGGTTGGACACCTGCCTACTTGCAAGATAGGGGCCCATAATAGGCTAGGTGGGAGTCTCTCCTCCATGGCAGGTATCATGCAATAATGAGGTGGCTGGTCCAAATCAGGTAACTCACTCTTTATTGATGCACAAAAACACCCCAATACACGATCTGCAGGGAGAGTTACTTCACTTCCCTGCTTTTAGGTTTCAGCTTCCCAGTTGTCTCTATCCCTGAACACCCCCAGCTCCACTCAACTATGGTCTTAGGAGTGCTTTCAGCAATGGAACCCACCCCATCATTCCAGTCTCCACCAGCCTATCCCCATTTCCCACTCGATCCAAGTGGCAACCTTTGCCACCAAGGGCAGCCTAATCTGCCAGCCAGCCTCATGCTACAGCATTGGTTCCAGGCCAAATGCAATTCACAGGATGATCTGTGGCCTCAGGCTTCTCTTTGACCTGCCTGTCCAGATCCCCAGCTGGGCTGTAGCCCTGTCCCATGCAGGAGAGCAGGGGTCCCTGGAGTCCTCTGCCACATAAGTCCTTATGCTACTTGCTCAAAACCATAAGGATTGTAATGCAAACTGTCTATTCTACCTGTCACTCACTGCTTCTGTGTGTCATTTCAAAAGCCATATCTTTAGATCTAGCAACTCAGTAGCATCACACAAGCTATCCAGAAATAAAAATTATACACTTTGCATCCCAAAGACAAGTGGTTAATATTTGTTGTGTGTCCTCATTTCCCCCCACAATGAACTGAGAAAAAAATGTGTGACTTGAATAGGGCTACTGAGCTTTTACTTTTTTTATAGTTCCTTCTATCTTTTCCTCAATAATATATTCCCTTTGGTATGTTTTGCAATTTAATTTCAAAATCACCTGGCTTCTCCAACAACATGGAGAATGGAGGGGTTGTGACTCGGGAGGGGCTGTGGCTCAGTGAAAGAGCCTCTGCTTTGCATGCAGAAGGTCCCAGGTTCAAATGTTGCCCTGCAAAAGCCTTGTGCAGCATATGTAGAGCTATGGACTGTAACTGTAAACTGGACTGTACAATAAGTGATGATGATGATGATGATGATGACGATGATGATGATGATGATGATGACGATGATGATGATGATGATGATGACGATGATGATGATGATGATGATGACGATGATGATGATGATGATGATGACGATGATGATGATGATGATGATGACGATGATGATGATGATGATGATGAAGTGTGCCAGGGTTTTGGACTGTGCGGTAGCCAGACAATGGTGCCAGCCTCCTGGACTGCAGGCACATGCCCAACCAAGGGTAGCCTCACCCAGAAGCAGTGTGCCAAGCCAGGCGTGGACCTGCAGAATACCCGATGCCTCTCACCCCTACATCCCTGCAGGAAACAAACCAACCTCCCTGACACCACAAGTACACAGAAACCAGCAGCAGTTCACTAAGAATGAAACACAATACTCTGCAAAGGAAGCCTGAGCATTCCTTCATACAAAGGCTTCCTCTCCATCATGCAGGCATCTTCCCCACCCCCACCTGCACCAGAGGTTGCACATATTCTTAATCATAAACAAAAGGACTTCCTCCATGAGAGGATTAAGCAGCTGTCACGTCTACCCGCCACCCATCCTGATAATTTAGCTGTTGATCATTGGGCCATTACGACTAACGACTGTCCAGGGAGCTGGGACATTACTACTCTTTTCTTTCTTTTGTCTCTCTAAAGGTGTCACCATCAGTCAAATATTATTGCAATTGCCCAACCATTAAACCCATCCTCCTGACCATTAGTAACTGGATTTTTCTAGATTTCCTGGGGACTATGTGATTGGTGGAGCATCCCCCTCCCAGTCATTCTAGGGTAATAAAAGAGAGCAGCTCCCCATTGCTCGCTCTCTCACTTCCTGCCTACCTGTACCCACCCTATCTTGCTGGCTCCATTTGTAACGCTGTTTGGAGTCTTCCACATGTGTTGCTGGCCAACACACGACCCCTTTCCTAGTATTTTCCCTATTTTCGCTGCAGGAATTAGGAATGCCTCGTCGCATCGGACAGGTTAAGAATCACCCCCATCAACGATACCTTCCTGCTAATGCAACTGTCAGTGTACCTTTCTATCTAAGATTCTTAGCTCTGTATTGACTAAGTGTGTGATTGTTTCATTTTTTATCATATGTGTGTGTGAATTATTAGTAAAGAAATCACTATATTTTAAAATCTAGTCTCTTGTGTCTATTTCTGGGGATCTGGATAAGTTGGACTCCAGTATACATATGTTATTGTTCCCTTAATTAAAGCCATTGCTATTTAATATTCAAATCCCCCCACCTTATTAATAAATTAAGGCAATTTGGCTAACACAATCCTTGGCATCTCCAGTTAAAAAGAGACAAAGTGGTAGTCGATGTGAAAGACCTCTACCTAAGAACCTAGAGAGCTTCTTCCAATCTGGGTAGACAATATTGACTTTGATGGACCGATGGTCTGATTCAGTATAAGGCAGCTTCATGTGTTTATGTGTTTTAATAGCTTTTTATGTTTTAATGGTTGTTTTATTTGTTCTAGCTTCAAGCATCCTGGAGCAGGTCTTGAGTGTTGTGGCATATAAATAAATATATTTTAAAAGAAATTGTCCTGAAAATTGTTATCCCTTCAAGATCCATAATGTTGGTAGCATAACACCTGAAATCACTAAAGATCCATCAGAAATCTAAAATAATATGTCTATAATATACCTAACATTAAAAAAACAACAACACTGTTTTAGCACATGGACAACCTTTCTGAATTCTCTATGCATAGGTCTGAGTTCTCTGTGTTGCTGAGGTCTATGTGCGTCCATGCAGGTATCGACTTTCACTTTGCTTCTAAGTTGCATGTGTACTATTGGACAGATGGCACATATGGGAAGAGAAAAAATTGCTTAAAGGTTTTGTAAGCCCATGTTTTGTAAGCCCAATCTCTAAGTGACGTGACTATTTTTCTCCAGGTGCTGGCAAATATCCACGCACATAATGTATATGAGGCTCTTGGATCTGAGTATTTGCCCCTGAGTTTGCAATTTTTTTCATCAGTTTTTTTTAATTCTCTGTATATAGTAAGGTGAGAGTTGAATTTAATAAGGCTGATGTAAAATGTTCTGTGTGCCAGTAATATTAAACTTAATCCTGCCAGGGAATTGCTTTTGTGCCTAGGATATGAAATATGTGCCTCTGCTAGTTCCACTGAGACTATTTTACCAGTTTAATGTTAAAGGGAAAGGGGAATCAGCTCAGAACAGATTATTTCAGGATAAAGACAATTGCAGGTCAGTTTTCAATCTAAAGAAGCACATTTTAAGATTATAAAATCAGGTGGCTATTAAAATTCAGTGTGTAATTTACTTCCACCAGCCCTGGATATCATCAGTTGTGTTTCTAGAGAAAAGATACAGATCATTCAAAACGTTTTTATCTTGCTGTTGTTTTACATATTTTGTAACAAAGGAGGAATTCTTTCTGTAATGTATTGGTGTCTATTTTAATCCTCTAATTTCTGAATGTTAATAACCGTTTCATTCTTTTATTCAACTGAATGTTAGAGATATAGATCAGATATTTCAAGTAGCCATAGTTAATGTATGGTAGAAGCTACAGTTTGTTCATGTTGACCATTGTTCAAGGATACTTAGGAATTTGGACTAGAAAAACATCTTTAAAAGAACTGGAAGCCCATTGGCTGTCTTCAGGTCCAGTTTTGGACCACTTCAGTCTGCTCTCCCAGGATGAAGTTGACAAGATCCTGATAGTTGTTAAGCCTACTACTTGCCTCCTAGATCCCTGCCCATCTTGGCTGGTTAAGGCCTGCGGTGATGAGGCGTGGATCCCTCTGAGGGAGATTATTAATCTGTCTCTTTCAATGGGGACCTTCCCAGAGGGACTGAAGGAGGCGGTAATTCGCCCTCTCCTTAAGAAATCTTCTTTGGACCCGACAGTCCTCAGTAACTACTGCCCAGTGTCCAATTTACCATTCCCAGGTAAGGTGGTACAGAGGGCAGTGGCAACACAACTTCAAGTGTTCTTGGATTAGGCTAAGGTCCTGGACCCCTTCCAGCCTGGCTTTCCCCCCATCCATGGGACAGAGACGGTGCTGGTCGTCCTGGTGGATGATCTCTGGAGACATTTGGATCAAAGCAGTTTGGCGCAGCTGATTCTTCTCGACCTATCAGCAGCATTTGATATGGTTGACCATGAGGTGTTAACCCACTGCCTCACCGATGCTGGGATATGGGGGCTTGCCTTGCAATGGCCAGCCTCCTTCCTTCAGGGTCGGGGAGAGAGGGTGGCACTTGGGGGGGAGTTATCACAGCGGCACCCACTAGAATGTGGTGTTCTGCAGGGAGCGATCCTCTCCCCCATGCTGTTTAATATCTATCTGTGCCCCCTCGCCCAGATTATCCAGAGGTATGGGCTGGGTTATCACCAGTATGCAGATGACACCCAGCTCTATCTACTGATGGACGGCCACCCAGACACGGACCCAGGACATCTTGAAGAGGCATTACAGGCAGTGGCTGGATGGTTATGACAGAGCCGACTGAAGTTAAAACCATCTAAGATGGAAGTCCTGTACCTGAGCCGCAGGGGATTGGGTCAGGGGATCAAGCTCCCAACCTTTGATGGGGCACCATTGGTACCTACGTCGAGTGTGAAGAGTCTGGGGGTGTTCCTGGATACCTCCCTCTCTATAGAGGCCCAGGTCACCACCACTGCCAGGTCTGCCTTTTTCCATCTGAGGCAGATCAGACAGTTAGCCCCGTATCTTACTCCCCAAGACTTTGCTACAGTGACGCATGCAATGGTAACTTCCAGACTGGATTATTGTAACTCTCTCTACGTGGGGCTGCCCTTGACTCTGCTCTGGAAGTTGCAGCAGCAGCAAGGGTGTTGATAGTGATGCCTGTGTGGACTCATATCCACTCGGTGCTGTGTGAACTGCACTGGCTGCCTATTGAATTCCGGATTCGTTTCAAGGTGCTGGTACTTACCTTTAAAGCCCTATATGGCCAGGGGCCAGCATACCACTCCACATATGAGCCCCGAAGGGCAGTGAGGTCCACAAATCAACATCTGTTAGTGGTCCCTGGCCCCAAGGATGTCCGGATAGCCTCGACCATGGCCAGGGCTTTTTCAGCCCTGGCCCCTGCCTGGTAGAATGACTTCCCATATGAGATCAGGGCCCTGCGGGATGTATTGTGTTTCTGCAGGGCCTGCAAGATGGAGCTCTTCTGCTGGGCATTTGGTTGAGGCAGCAGACTCCCCCCCCCCAGCTTCTCTGGCCCTAGCTTTTCTGGCCCAGCTTTCTCTGGCCAATTGTGCACCAGTGGCCTGATTCTGACTGGTCATCTGATAACCTCTATAGTTACATGGTATTTTATGTATTAATTGTTATTTTAATACTGTTTTAATTGTATTATTTAACTGCTGTGCACCGCCCTGAGCCCATTGGGGAGGGTGATATATAAATCTAATAAAATAAAAAGAAAACAAGGCACAGTTGCACTCCAGTTACCATTCATAAAGTACCAAATTATTATCAATTGCTACTTCTTCCATCCCCCAAAAACCTATAGTGTCAGTGCATCTCAATTGTGTCACTATAGTGGTTAGTGCTATAGTGCTCATATTAGAATGTTTTTGAAAGTCCAAGGAAGATTGTGTGGCAAAAAAGGGCGGGGGGAAAGTGGCACTGCTTGAAATGACCATAGCACTTAAAAGACAGCTCATTAATGGAAGGAAATTCACTGTATGAAACCCCCATCCCTGTATCACTTTACTCGAAATCAAGCCAACAATGAATAACATCTGATTTAGAATGTTAATTCGAAAAGGACCACAATGGGTAGCTGTGGCTAGACTTTAAGCAGAAAACTAATGTGAAATACTTCAGCAAGATAGTGGCACAGATGTGTCCTTTAAATAAATTTGTGCACAATACCTGTATACTTTAAATGGGAAACTTGCAACAAGAAGCTCAAGGAGAGTCTCTCAGTCCTTTTCAAATGGGAAACTTAAGACAGGTGTCCCAATGTCAAAATAGCTGATTGTTTTAACTGGAAATTTCATGTATGTTTGCATTGTCCTTAAAGTGAAATGTGGGAACATGAAACTATCTACAGGTTTTTAAAAACTTGTTTCACACATGTTTCTTACAAGAAAGTTTAAGACTCACGCAAATAAATTCACACTACTCCTGAAGGGGAAAAAATTAAAGATTATGAAAGCCATCTACTATAAGTGTTCCCACTTATCGTTCAGCTTTGTTGCCTTGTTTCCCAAGAATCTGTTCTATTTCTGGTTGATAATTACATAACTTAGAACTTCTAGATGCTGCTTCCTTCGTCTCTACATTTATGTCTCTAATATATTGCATTCATCCTTAATGTATCCTCCACTATCGGGTATCCTTCCTCATGTTCTATTCCTCTTGTTTGTTGACTGGACTTTCGTGTAGAAGGGGTTTGTTTGTTTTTTTACAATTCATAGTTTGAAAAGGCATGGAAACAACAAAGCTGTGGTGAGGACAGTAATACTAACACAGAGAGACAATCCACACTGACAAAATGATGTATATATGAGCTGCAGATTCCAGGCAAGGAATACGGAAATAGCTGAACTCAGTATGACATAATTGTTTCCTGTCGGAAGGTCCACACAATCTGTTGACATGCGCATAGTCATCTGAACATAATGGTGTAGCTACATTTTTTCCCATTGCTCCACCTGAATACTGAGTCCAGTTTCATGATCTGTATAGAAATTCGATAATTATCAATGCAACAAACATGAAATTAAGCAAACTCCTGAGCACAATTGAAGACAGGAAGGCATGGCGTGATGTGGTCCATGGGGTCGCAAAGAGTCGGACTTGACTGTGCGACTGAACAACAGCAACATGGAAATTCACTGTTTCTGTATAATCCATGATATGATATTTATGCAAAGTATAAATTATGAGTTGACCAAAATCTCACTTGCATCTAAAGGAAGGATTCATAGTGATATCAATATTTTTAGGTTATTATTACTAATTAGATAGGGATAAGTATAAGCAGGGCTATTTTGGGGCAGGAACGGAGTTCTGGCTGGCTTCAGAGTTGGCCACGCCCACTACAGCCAAAACCTCTGCATGTGTGGCTACAGAGGGAAGGCCTGGAGAGCAACTCCCCCCCCAGCAACTTTGAGGTGGGTAGGCCAGGGGGCCCCTGGAAGGATCGGGGAGGCATTTAAATGCCTCCCCTTGCCTTTCCCGGCCTGTCCAAGGGCCAGCTTGTCTGGGCAAGCCAAGGGAAGGCAGTTTAAACTGCCTTCCCTTCCCTTCAAGGGGGGGCTTGCCCGGTCTCCCTGCATCTGCAGGGCGCCTGGGCAAGCCAAGGGAAGGCAGAGGGGTATGGCCTAATATGCTAATGCTTTGTGTCATCAGGGGTGTGGCCTAATATGCTAATGAGCTTCTGGTGTTGGGTGTGGCCTAATATGCTAATGATTTTCTGCTGTTGGGTGTGGCCTATTATGCTAATGAGTTCCTGTTGGGCTTTTTCTACAAAAAGAGCCCTGAGTATAAGTATGCCCTAGCTTCCTTTCTTTTTGATTACTAGAATTTATACACCTCAAAGACCAACAAGATTTCCAGGGTACAAGCTTTCAAGAGTCAAAGCTCCATCATTTTATTTAATATATATGGCAATTCCTTCTGATCATGTATTGCTTACAACTGTAGATTTGAGAATTGTTTTGCAACTGAGATTTTAGAAGTCTCATGCTTTTAGAGTTTTGAAGGATTCAGATTGTTCATTAAGTTGGAGCAAAGTTTCTGTGATGAACACTAACAGTTGATTCTTGTGTGTATCACACCTGTTTATTTGGGTTTTTTTAGAAAATAATTGCTGATTAACAAGTTTGTTATCAACCCTAACACTGCTGACTTAGAGTTCAGTAAACAGTCACTAATAGAAATTAGACTGATCAATAGTTCCCCTTCATCTCTCAAATTTGATAAAAACATTTACAATAGTTAATTAGCAAAATTATGACTCATTTGTTTGCCTTTTGTTAGGAGTTCCAGAGACGCCTCAGATTAGTGGATTTACTTCACCAGTTATGGAAGGTGAAAGGATGGAACTTACATGCAAAACCTCTGGTAGCAAGCCAGCAGCGGATATCAGATGGTTCAAGAATGACAAAGAGGTGAAAGGTATTGTTTGGAATTGTATATTTCATTAATAAGAAACACTTATTAATTAAACATGTAAACTGGTTGATTTGATTTGCGAAATTCATTACATTTACATGCTTTGTAGATAATCAAAGAATAATCCAAAGCATTTTGGTACGCAGCTAGTAAGCATTTCTCACACTTCTACAATATCAATTGTAGCCGAGTTCCTTTGGGGATAGAGGAAAGCAAGCTTCTCCCTGCTAGTACAATGCTTTGAAATGCTTGAAAAATGGCCTAAGAAATTCATAAATGAATAATAAATATCACAGCTTTTCCCCTCTGGCCCAGCTTCTGCTGTACAGTTCTTTCACAGTAACCTCAAACACGCACGCAGCATGATTAAATGATGCATGCACCCAGCAGCCAATGCTCATATAGTGTGTACGGTAAGTAGAGGGAAAAACACATCAGGCTGTCTCATCACTGAATGCATGCTCCATAACTCTGTGCTCTTGTTCCTTTCTCAAATATTTGCCTTCTTGGTACATGAAGCTTCTTAATTTCTCAGGCTGGTTGTAGCTACCACTTCATCCTCTTCTGCATTCCTCTGGCAGGATTGAACTGAACAGGGCCTGGCAACTGTGGCTGTTCTCTGTACTTCCCTCTCCTAGGTTTGACCAGACATCTCTGTGTTACAAAGTATGAGAAAAGCAGGTCACATTAACAGTAGGCCAGTCACCTTTGTGCCTTAGAGCCAATGCATGTGGTGACCATCAATAGCCATTCTGAAGTCATTACATTTAAAATTAAACTCCAAGCATATATGTGCCCAAAAGCACAAAGGTCATTTGGCTGGCTGCTGTGGATTGTCCCAAACAGTAGATTTCTGTAGCCTTTTTGTTTCTTTGTTTTTTCCTTTAATGTTGGTTTGCTAAGGCAAATGGAGAATTACCATAGAATGGAGACACCAATATGTGCAGGTTGCTGAAGATGACAGGATGCTTTCAAAAACAATAATCAGATTGTACCTTGTTGGCATAATTGTGCTTCTCATTTGAATGCTTTTCAAACTGTTAGGCATGCCTGAGAGGCAATAATTAATTAATTGGTCTATACCAATAGTTATATAAATGTTCTGACCACTGGAAGAAGACTGATGGCTGACTACAAGAAAGAGAACTCTGCCCTGTATATTTCCATCCGATTATATATAGATACTTACAAATAACTAGTGTGGACAGGGCCAAACTGGAAGTTAATGTATTGCTACACATAACTTTTCATAGTTATAGCAGGGAAAGCCCTTCCCCCTCCCCTACCTTCTTAAAACAAACATGAAAATAACAGGAGGCTGAAGTTGGTTCCTTATTCGCTCTTCCTTATTCATTCCTTATTCGTTACTTATTTGTGTAGTCATTCAGAAACACTAAGGAGAGTGAGGTGGAAAGCTCCGAACCCCAAAATAAGGTCTGGACCACCACATATCATATACCCCCACATTCACAGGACTCTCCCCTTTGAGGGGACATATACTGTATCCTGGTCCAAAGCACGGTTCTGGTGCCAGTTGCTCCAAAGGGCAGTGCCCCTAGGACAATCACACAACACAAGCATACACTGGGGCCAGGCTGCACCCCAAAATAATCTTTGGACCACCCCAAACGACACATCCCCATGCTCTGGGGACTGTGCCCTGCAAGATGACATACAGTAATGCCCGGTCCAAACACCGGTTCTGATGCCACGAGCTTCTGTTTGCAGGGCTTCCCCGAGGCCTGTATTTCAAAGGAGATTTGAATAAGGAAGTGCCCCCTGCACCCAAAATAAGGTTTGGACCCCCACACTTCATACACCCTCGTCTTCAGAGGACCCTCCCCTTCAAGGGGACACATTCTGTGTGCTGATCCAAAGCGCGGTTCCAGTGCCAGTTGCTCCAAAGTGCGGTGCCCCCAGGACAAACACACAGGCAGACACTGGGGCCAGACTGCACCCCCCACAAGTATTTGGACTACCCCAAACAACACATCCCCACACTCTGGGGACTGTGCCCTGCAAGCTGCCAGCAGCAATGGCGGCAAACCCTGTGCGGCTCCTAGCCGCCGGGCTGGCCAGGCCAGGCTCCCTGCCCCCCAGGAACGGCTGCGGCTCCCAGCCGCAGCGCACCAAAGCTTCTCCCCCGCGCGCCACCACCACCAGCAGCAACAGCTCTGCTACAGTGCCTAGTGATAAGTTCTCTTTTACTTTTGGGGGGATTTAAGTATCCCCCCTATATTTTTTCAACTTTTCAGATTTTTCTGCACATCTGGGGATCGCCCCAAATGTGCAGCAAAATCTCCCTGCCCCCCAGGCCATTCTGTTATTTACTGTTAATATTTACTGGATGGATCCATCAGGGCTTGTTGGTTCTTATCTCTGCATAGATCCTAATGGTCCACACCCATGATTCAATCAAGCTACTTAGAAAGCACATTGCAGCTTTGCATCCTGACTTATTTAGTCTAAACTGTTGTTGCATCCTTTTATCTGGATATAAGAACGCAACCACGTGTCATACACCTACTGGTTGAGGGGACCCTCCCCTTCAAGGGGACATATGGCACTTCCTGGTCCAACGTGAAGTGCCCCAGGACAATCATACAAGTTGCACCGGGCATCACTGTATGTCACCTTGCAGGGCACAGTCCCCAGAGCGTGGGGATGTGTCATTTGGGGTGGTCCAAATATTGGGGGGGGGGCTGTCTGGCCCCAGTGTCTGCCTGTGTGCTTGTCATGGGGGCACCACACTTTGGAGCAACTGGCACCGGAACCGCGAATAAGGAACCAACTTCAGCCTCCTAAAATAACCCCTGTCCTTTATTTTCTCTGACCTCACTGTGCTTTGGTGTTTTTAGTATTTTTCTTACAATCCATGTGAGCTGGGCTTAGAGAAAAGTGCAGAGAGTAATTGAATACAGTAGGGGTGAAATAGGAATTATTTCTTGTCACATATTATCACTCCATTGTTTTTTAAGAGGATAGGTACACCCAGCGTAAATAGATGAACAGGTTTATAAAAATGTCTGGATCATCCTCCACTCAATCACAAGTAAGTTGGGCCTAAGGGGCAAATGGGGGGAGGAATAAATATTTTAATTTTACAGATGCATTTTTATAAATCAAAGTCTGAATTTGTTTATTTGAAATATTGGCAGGGTTAAAAAAGATGCATTCTGTTGTTGGATGTAATCTTGCTTCTCCATTTGCTTTGCCCTTTAGTGCTTGCTTCTAGAAACGTGAGTGAACATGTTGCATTGCTGCTGAAATTTTAACTATTACTTTTTAAAGGTAGCCTCCATCAAGTAATCTCCTTAAAATATTCCATTAAACTCTATGTATGTCAGAGTTGTCTAGCATCAAGTTAGTTTGCTATGTAGTCAAGAAGTTTCTCCAAGCAAAGTTACAGAAGTAATAAGAGAAGCCATTAATCTTTCTTTAACATCCACAGGAACTGAGCAATGCATAATAAAACAAAGGCTAACATACAACATTTAAGAAGTCTAAGAGTCTGTGGTTGGTACTTAGGGAAATTTCTTCAGTTTTCCGTCTTTAATATTATTGTCATGAAAATTTTCTAAATCAAAATGAGAAAATTCTATTTGAAAGAGACAGAAACATTAAACACTAGCATTAAAAAGCACCTGAACTCCTGTGGTCAAATAGAGAAGGGAACAGGAGACAGAATGTGGTGCCTCAGCCTATAGCAAATTTAAGGGAAATTCTAAGCAAAGGGAAGAATTGTGCCATTCTCTATTTAACAAGAAAATTTGAACTAAGTTGCAGGTTTTCTTACCATACCCTGACTTGCAAGACTCGAACTAATCCCTGATTACAGGTTTAAAAATTCATAGATGTGGATGAGTGTCCAGAATTTAGCAACAGATTGGGGGGAAGGGTGACAGAAAGAAAGGGGGAAAGGTGGCGCCTTGTACTGCAGTCCTCAGCCTGCAGCAAAAATAGGAAAGGATTTACAATAACTTTGCACCTGCACAGCAACCACAGAGGAAGAATTTTGAAGAGGGGACCTAGACTACCTATAGCAAACTGGTTACTGCATTTCATTGATTTAAATTTACTTATTGAAAATCCTATTTGGAGGTTATTGGTTTTTTATCATGAATTTTATGTGTTTGTATAATAGCTGTTTCATTCGTATTGATTTTATTGTGGGTTTTTTAATAACTGTTTTTATTTATATTGTAAGCCACCTTGAGTTCCACAAGGGAGAAAAGTGGCTAATAAATATTTTAAATAAAACAAATAATTGCAGGCTTCTTCCTGGTTAGATTATGTTCAGTTTCTCAACTGTTGGTTTGATAAATAGACAACTGCATTAGACCCCTTCTAAGTAGCCCTCCTTACATTAATGCCTCCTAAGAGATCTGTGTAGCACATATTCATATTTAATGGAATTGAATCTTTTCTAATATTATATTCGTAGAACCACTTGTTTATAAAAAGAAAAAGAAAAATGAGTTATTCTTAATGACTCATAAAATAAATTATTGCCTTTTAACAAAGACTTACATAGTAAATTAAGTTTCTGCTTTTGGGGGGTAAGAAAGCACTGGCATTTATTTATTTATTTATTTATTTATTTATTTATTTTTGGGATTTATATCCCGCCCTATCCAACAGCTCAGGGCGGCTAACAGACGGCCATGCCGAAGTTAAAATGTGCATACAATCAAACAGCATAATAAAACAATGTATCCTACATAAAATTTGGTGCTCTAATAATTTACATAAAAACCAAGATGCGCGACATCCCACACTGGCGGCCAAGTTCTTCATAGCATAAGCATGAGCATAAGTGCCACGAGAAATGTTTCCCGGCTCTGTAGGGCGACATCTACCCCTACCACATGAGGTAGATGGTAAGAACCTCAGTGGTGGGATAGTGGCGGTGGCGGCTCCCCCTCAAAGGCCTGGCGAAAAAACTCCGTCTTGCAGGCCCTGCGGAACTGCACCAGATCCCGCAGGGCCCTGATCTCCTCCGG